CCTAAACGTCAGTCTCTTTTGCTTTGATATCTTTAATACTATTTACACAATCACCATATATCAACGATTTACAGAGAGTACTGATAATAACCTTCACTAATGAACAACCCTAAGTAAGTGTTGGTTTTGATAAGAACTGGAAAAGTGGCTCCGAGTTGTCCTAACCTCTGTTAGTGTAATTTTTGTAGTTAAACTCAGCAAGATATAACATGGACATGTATGCTTCCTTGTTCATCTGCCAGATGAAATGGTTGGTTGAGGGAGCAAAACCAATTGATATTGATGCTTAATTATGTGTCTAAATTCATTTTTGGGGAAAAGAAATCTTTTTATGATCAGACAGCTTTATATGCTTCAAGAATTTCTGACTTTCAAAAATAAGGTATAGGCTGCTACTAACCATTAGTTCACCATATCAATTGGAACAATCTATTAGTTGTATGAAACGATTAGGTACTAAAGAGGTTTTCAAATACTTTCAAGTCAATTCCAAGAAAGATAGACTTCATATAGGTCCAAATATAAGTTATAACTTGCTCATTACATATTGCTAAGTTAATTTTTTCACATTTAAGGCAAACTGATTTTGCTTAGAAACACTGAACTGTTTTCATGTTAGTTTTCTAAATCCTATCATCTCTTTGTTTGATTTGTTTATATGTAAATATATGTAATAGTACATACCTAATTTTCCTTGGAAAATTGACTACAAGCACTTGATTTAATCTATTTCTTTATCTCCTGTGAATTGTATGTTTGTAATAATAGGGACAGAATTTACTCAATTCCAATCGAGTTGGCATTTTCTGTCAATTTTTTGAGTAATATATCTGGAAATGCTCATTGTACACGAACTGATTGCTAATTTTTCTTCTATTCATTATCTGGGAATGCTCATTTTACACCAACTGGTTGCTAATTTTGCTTCTATTCGTCATCTTTTATCTCATAATCTTGAATTTATCAACGGATCGGAACATTAATTGCAGGATGATGAAAGAATCAGAAAGAACAGACTTGCTCTACTCAAGAAAATTGCTGACCTCCCGAAAGGCATAGCAGACCTCTCTGTTCTGCCAGGATTTTAGAAGTTTTGGAGATCATTTTCACCTCTACTCGTGTAGAGTAAATTTATTTATTCAATTTTGGGTTGAGTTCGGGTGGTATTATTTATCTACTTTCAGTTCAAACTTGGGAATATTTAAATCATAAAATATTCTTAATTGTAAACTAGCATAATTTTTTCATGTTTTGTAACCTCAATGTCAATAAACAGACCCTTCTCGATTACTAATTTTCTTTTAGAAGTAACACTGTCGGGTGCTGAATTTTGAGGTTCAAGTATATATTTTACGTTTACATTGAGGATAAAAATAGATTTTTTATGAATATAAATATTTCTTCTGTAAATTTAGAGGGCATTCCTTTATTGCTAAGAAAATGGAATCGAAGTATGTGGCAGAAATTTCAGTTTTAATATAATTATGACGGACATGTTAATGAAAATAACATTTGAATTCCAAATTAATTTTACATCCAAGTTATTTTTATCATTTCTTCCTTAAGAGGTAAGAATGCAAATTTATGACCGTTGATTAAAAAGTTTAAATAAAATTAATTTAATTATGTAATAAATGTGTAGAGTACAATTAATTTTTATAAACTGAAGAATACATGAAGTGTGCAGTTTTGAGACTGGGAGAGTTCTGCCATGATCCAGCCATTAGTTCCGTGTGTGCTTTTAGTTATTCTCTAAAAAGAATTCCTTTGTGGAAAATTCTTATCATTACCTCTTCACATGATTAACGGTAGGTATAAAACCTCAAAGACACGTGGCAATCAAATTCATCCTCCCTCACGAAATATTCAAGTCAGTTGAGTATTTTACTTTAATAATTATTTCTCTTCTTTTTCACTTCCAAAAGTTAATCTAGACTATAATATTATATAAATTTATTATAACATTGTGTTTAGAAAAAAAATGAAATTGACAATTGAAAATATTAATTTTTTTTTTTTAAAGCCATATATATTTGAATAATAAGATATATAAACTTTTTGAATTTATAAACTAATCAAAATATAAATGAAATAAGTTTTCACAACATATTTAAATAAGATAGACTTTTAAAAATTACACAAAATATATATTTAAATTTTTAAAACTGTTATGATCTTTATTACTAATTAATTTATGGTATTCTAAATAATATATATGTATATATTTAACAACTAAAACTTAAAAAAATAATTTATACATTAAATAGAACATGAACAAGAATTGATGAAAAAATTTAAATGTGAGAATAGTATATATTAAAATTGAAACCATAAATATTTACAAGACACGACCTTGGACACCTACTATTAAAGCCCACGTAAGAAAGTTATAAGCTAATTGGGACTAAACAAATTCTTTATAGACCTATTCAAAATATATTAAACCCAATGCACCACCTTCGCACAATTCATTAATAAAAGATCCACTAACGGACTCAGTTGGGTTTGGGGCCAAAAATGTCTCACATAACCCTTGGGTACTAAATAAATTGGCTCGAGAAAACCCTAATACATATATATGTGTGGTTATACCTTCATGAGCCTCTACTAGGAGTACTTGAGGCATCATGTGATGTAAAGAGAATGTCGAGACTTGGAGCTAGTACAGGGTTTGCAGAACCACATAAATAACAAATTTGTGATTGTTAAGGGAAACTAGGTAGGGCATGATATAGGATCCACCTCTAGAGGAGCTTATATTGAAGAACTATTTTAGTTTTCCCTAATAGTTGCTAATGAGTAAACTCTTGGGCAGCTATTTAAGCCCTAGAATGATTAAACAAGTGGTAACCTAATTTGACACTTGTGTATCTTTATCTCTAGTGACTAAGAGCTTAAAATGAGTGAGAAAGGATAATATTTAAAATCAAATTAGCATAGCATATTAGATAGTGTTGTGAGACCTTCGTTTTATCCCAACTATGTATTTGGGGGTTGAGGAAGTCACTTATCTTAATAAATATAGGATTTTATGGGATGGTGAAATAAAGGAGGGAAGAGCAAGGATCCAAGGATCCATTTAAAAATGGATGGTATGCCCTAATAGCTTTATAAATCCCATGCCTTAAGATATCCCTACTAGTAAAGATCCTTTTCTATATTAAAGAGTCTTGTGATTTTAGGGTGTACAGAAACAAAGATAAAGACTTTATATACTTAGCATTTAAAACACAAACCCACAATTGGTTAGGATTTTAGAGAAATGACTAGGCTAACTTAGCCATAAGTACAAAATTAAAGGATTCAAAATCTTTACAAGCTAAGCCCCACTCCCTTGAATTTTACATCTTGTAAGGGTAGTTCAACTGATTGGACAATATCCATGTTATTGGGTGTCCAAGCATTCCCCACAAGACTTGTATATGATTTGAGTTAATTTTTGAAGAATAACCTTAAGAAGTTTAAATAAGGACATAAAATGTGGGTTGAGCTAGTAATACGACATGAATTGAAATTATCCTCCTTATGTATGATAGAAAGTTTTTTTTTCAATATATGTAACTTAGCCCTTAGTTTTTCTAAAAAAAATATAAAAGTTTGGTGATTTGCTTATCTAGGACCATTGGGATACTTGAATGGTTGTTCTTTTCAGGTAAACCATTCATATGGACTAGGTTTGGAATTGTTGTTGGGTGTGATAAGAAATATTAGAGCTAAAGAGATATATGACTTCTCATAATTCTTTATTTGTCATGACCATAAGTAGTAGCTCACTAACAATCAGATAAAGTATTAGACATTGGAATAATTAGCCACTCTAAAAAGTAAGAGGTCATCTGCGTAGAGTATATGAGAAATATATTAGGCTTCCTTATTAAGTTGAAGCCCCTAACTATAGTGATACTACTCAACTAGGTGGAGTAATTGAGAGAACATATTCGTGCATAATATATAGAGGAATTGAAAGACTATATCTCCTTGCTTTAATCCTCATTGAAGTAATTTAAACATAATAAGGAGCCCATTCATGAGAATTTGGTATGAGACTGTTATATAACACTGAGATAAAAATATATTAACTTTTGGTAAAGCGTTAGCATCTAGTTTAAAAAACTCCACTCAAGTTTATTATAGGTCATACTCATATCACATTTAATAAAAAACCATCTTCTTTTTTTTTGCCTTTTTCAATTAATGGTGACAATAACATTATCTTGCATGCATTAATTGGAGATAAGGCTGATTGATAAGGGGAAATAATATGATCTACATGGTTTGAACTAATTAGTAAGAATTTTTAATAATGTCATAACTAACATTGCACAAAAAGATAGGTCTATAATGCTGAAACTTCAATTATCTGGACATTTTTGGGATTAAGACGACAGTGGTTTAGTTAAGTTCTTTACTAGTTGGCCAGAGCAAAAAAAAGGCATGAATGTATGGTATGATATTTTTTCGAATTATGTGTCAATAAGATCTGTAAAATGAAGAGGGTATATCATTAAGTCTTAAGAGCTTTATTCAATCTTATAATGGTAAAGGCCTTGAGTATTTCTATTTCATTTGCAATAGTAACAATATCTTTATTTATGGAAGAATTAAGGAGATTCGGGTATAACAAAGACATAAGAGAAAAAAGAGTATGAGTAGATATGGTGGATAGGGTAGTGAATTGTGATTTGAAGTAGTATATCAGGACACTATCAGTGAGTCTAATACTCAATAAAAATGAAGTAGATGAGATTTGTTCGTTGCTTAATAGTAGCTCTAATATGGAAGTAGGAAATATTATATCCCTTTGCTTAATCCATTTATCCTTAGCTCTTTATTGCTAATAGAGTTCTTTTACTTTAAAAGAGTTTATAATCTAGATTGGAGGGAGATTTTTGTATGGACATTATCAAGGGTTGGTAAAAGTTATTGGATTTGGTCTTAAGTGTCATAATGTGAGCTATAAAAGCTTATAGAGTACCTAAATAATAAGAGTAATATTCCATAAGGGACCACCTTGTAAGTTTGAGTTTTTGGAAAAATTGGTAACTTTAGAGCCAAGAAACTGTTGATTCAAAACCTTAAAGATAATTGGCTTACATGATGGGTCTTTAATCTTGACATTTTGAAATTTAAAAGTTCTTTGTTATTGAGGACCTATAGAAAATACCTTTATGTTAATGAGAACAAGATGGTGATATGAAAATGTGGTAAGGAGACATGTAACAAATGATTCGAGGGAACATGGATTACCATTATGAGCTGGTTAGAGCTCAACCCAATCTGTCTTGAACATTAGCAAAATCTATGCATTTGTTAGACCAAATGTAAGAGTGTCCTTTATACCCGAGGTCTATGAGAGCCAAGTCTTCTACAAGATCTAAAACAAGAGTCATTGATGCGTTACGATGGATGTAAGACTTTATTAAAGTCTTTAATTAATAAGAAGGGTAAGGAGTATGCTTGAGCTAGATTTTTTAAGGTAATCCAAAATTTTTCCTTTTTTTTTGCCAATATAGGGGTCTATAGACTCCATAACAAAGCCAAACCATTTGAATTTGTATATCAATAACTAAGATTGTAATGACAAATTTGGTTTGAGTAATTACCTAGATAGAAAGAGCTACATCTCATACCATGCACAGACCACCTCTATCCTTCAACCAGTGAGCATACAAATTGATTAAAGTTGAGTGTAAACTAGAGAGATTGTGTTTGTGAAGAGAAGAGTTTAATTTCAGAAAGAAAAACAAAGTAAGTTTGACCTTATGCACAAGGGCCTATAAGGCTCTTACTGTAGAAGTTTAGTCAAGACCTTTGCAATTGACTATTAAAAGCTTCATGACGAAGTAAGGGGTGATAGGCTCATCTTTGAAACATTTATTTAAGCATTAAAAACTTTCAACCTGCTTAATGTTTCTTATAAAATTATCACTAAAGTCATTGTCAACAAGCTCAAAAATATTATGTCTGGCCTTATAAGTGATACTCAAACGAGCTTTGTTGAAGGTCGTAACATCTCGGATAATATCATCATGGCCAAAGAAGTTATCAACTCGATGAGGCAAAAAAAAGACAAGGTCAGTTGGATGGCTATCAAAGTTGACCTTGAAAAGCCTATGATAAACTCAATTGGGATTTCATTGAGGACACCCTCCGGGATATTGGCTTCCTAAGTTTCCTCACTCAGGTTATCAAGTATTGCATCTGCTCTGGCTCCATACAGCTCTTGTGGAATAAAGAACCCATTAAGGAGTTTATCCCTTCAAGAGGTATTTGCCAGGGTGACCCCCTCTCTCCCTACATCCTTGTGTTATGTATGAAGCACCTCTCC